GGGGTGTTTGTGTGTGTGTGTGTGTATCAGTGAATGACCGTGTATGCACTTGAGTGTGTTCGCCAACACGGCTGTCCCTCTGTCTCTTAACCCTCGCTGACCCAACCCGCATGCCTATCTGTTTTACAACCCGCTCTAACCCGTAACGTCTTTTGTACCTCCCCAGATTTACTCTTTGGCAGTTGCCAGGACATATTCTCCCGTGCCGTTCGGGGCCCCAACAAGTTCCGGCTGGAGACAAACCAAATCGAGCACCTGGAGCGGGAGATCAAACGTCTCATCCGGGCCGGCTTCACCTGGCGTGACGCCTACACGCAGTGCGCCATACAGAACACGCTCCTACAGTTCTCCCGAGGCCGAATATTTGACCACTCGCTCTGCGAGGATGCACTGGGCGTAGCAACTCCAGACTGGTCTGAAGTGGTCAGTGAGGAGGCCGCTAATGTCCTTTTACGGCTCCTGGAGGCCGGACAGTTCGACCTCGACCCCCGTGACATCGACCCCCGTGACCTTGAAACGGACTTGCCCATCGGAGAAGAGGACATTCTCAACTCTAACAAACGAGACGAGATCGTGCAGGTCCACAAGTACTTCGACAAGTCGAAAGGCCAGCTCAAACGAGACCCCTACTTCGAGGACAGAGCTTCCCCGTATTCCCTTCTATACCCCAAAAACAAGCCAGAACCCTACTCCCTCTACTATTCCAAGACTCTCCTGCCACAGGACACAGAACAGGAGGAAGACCCAGGGCTTCCTTACTTCTCCACACCCGACGACGAGCAGGAACCAGGGGCAGTCAACTCAGACACCACTGACCTGGTTCCTGTGGCCATGGCTGACGCCGACCAAGATCCATCCCTCTACACGAACGAAGAACTTTTGGCCAAGAGCTTTCCCTCCGACGCCAGAGAGACCATCATGGGCATGGAAAACCCCTTGACGATGGGAGTCCAAGGTAATTCTTAGCTCTTATGTTGCTGCTATTAACGTGTTGTTGTAGCTGATGCTGTTGTTGTTATTGTTGTAGCTGTTCTTACTGTTCGTTGTCGTTATTACTCCTTTTGTGGTGAGTACTCCTATACTCGCTGTCTTTACTGATGATGACGTCACTGTTTTTGTATTTTAAATGTAGCCTTGAATTTGAACGTACTAAAGGGCATAGGAAGAGACCAGGCAAAGTTGAATACTTGAGATAACAGCCTTCCCCTTCCCCCTTTCCCTGAGTAAATGAGTCAAAAGGACGGAGAAGAAGACGTTTACAGAAAAGAAAAGAAATGCCGAAGCAGACGAAATAACAAAAACAAAATAAAAGCAACAACAACAACAACGAAACAACCAAAAATACCCCCTCCCTCTAAAATAGAACAGCTAAAAGACTACATCAACAGCAACGAAGCCAGATCAAATATTACAATTAAGATAGCATTCAGCAAACTTGGGAGCAGTCTGGTTATAAATCACAACAGACCAAACAGCGGACCAAACGACACACTAGATAACATACTCGATAAGGGACTACACAACCTTCTAAATTACAGAGAGTGATACAAATCATAAATTGATTATTAAGATTTTACGCCCTCATCGACATAATTTTGACCAATGAGAAGGTGTGTTTCTCCTGTCGTTCACTGTGAGAAAGTGTATCCCACTCAACCTGTGTTAGCTCTGACAGACAAAATCGAAAAAGCCTGCCTCCTAAATGGTTTACATTTGTCGTTAGCAAAAACTTCTCCTTGGTGAAATCAAACACATGTTTTTATTTTGTTTTGTTGTTTTTTGTGTGTGCAACTTTGAAAAGACTTAGTATTACTCTACTAATCCCGGGATAACAGATTAGATAACATTATTATTACATAACAGACTGCATGATGAACAACATATCAAACTTACGCAACAGACTACATAACAGGCCAGAAGACAGATTAATTAAGAGACTAGATGACAGAGTACAAAACAGGCTAAACAACACGGTATACAAGAGACTAGCTGCCAGACTAAATAACAGACCAAATGACAGACTAGGTGACAGACTACATCACAGACTATATGACATTTCATATGTCAAACTACATCACAAACTACATGACATACCGTATGACAGACTACATCACAGACTATATGACAGACTTGTACAGACTACATCACAGACTATGCGACAGACTAGATGATAGACTATATTAGATACAAATTAGTATACCAGATAGCAAACTACCAAACATATTACATAACAGGCCGGGAGAGAGACTATAGTACATGGCTACCTTGGGGCTACAAAAAAGAGAGTGTAACTCACTAATAGCATTATATATA